CAAAAAACGCAACGCTGAGTTGTCTGCCTTTGATGATTCTGGCCTCTCGAAAGAGCTTGACAATGCTATAACTTTTGCCGAAGAAGCTCGACAACTGGAGAAAGAAGTTGCACGCATATGGTCTGACAAAACCTTGTGTGAAAGGCGCCTCAAACTCCAGAAGTCGAAGTATTTGAAGATGAAAGAGAATCTCCCATTTTAGCTTGCTACTTTCTTTGTAATGTTTAATTTTGAATACCATGTTCCATAGTCTTTAAGACTGTATTATGTAATGAATTTAAGCCAATTTGGCACATATGAATACCATTATTGGCTCTGCCTTTTACATTCAATTATTCTTTAGAAATCTTAATTTCTTAAAGCGCTGGTTTATATTTTTTCAAATACTTGCCATTTACTTTCAAGATTCTTTTATCCTCGTTTAATTCTTCAACTTCATAGGCTCCATTAGAAAATACTTGCGTAATTTGAAATAGGCCTTCCCATTTTAGGAACCATTTTCCCAAGGCTCTGACTTTTCGATCCACAGGCAGAATTACCCTCCAAACCAAGTCTCCAGGCAGAAAGGTCCTAACCTTAACCTTTTTATTGTAAGACTTCTCTACTCTTTTCTTTTGTTTCCTCAAAAGTTCTAGAGCTTTAAGTCTTTCTTCATCCAAATATACCAACTCATCCAACATCATATTCCAATAAGACTCAGGAGGAATTTCATGATGTCTCTAAATCCTAGTCGACTGCAGGTAGATCTCAACGGGTAACACTGCATCATGGCCAAAAGTCAATCGAAATGGAGTAGTGTTAGTTGCTTCTTTGGGGGACGTTCGACATGCCCAGAGGATCTGATCCAACATCTTATGCCAATTTTTAGGCTTCTTTCCCACATGTTTTTTTATTAAACCAATCACCACTTTGTTAGCTGCTTCGACTTGACCATTAGCCTGAGCATAATAAGATGTAGAGGTTAAGAGTTTGAATCACATCTCCTTAGCAAACTCTTGCATCTTTTGACCAGTAAAGACTGATCCTTGATCTATTGTGATTGTTTCTGGGATTCCAAACCTGTAAATAATGTATTTCTGAATAAACTCGATCACATCCACTTGATCCATACTAAGTAAGGGTATCGCTTCGATCCACTTCATAAAGTAGTCAATTCCTACCAAAATGTATTTCTGATTCTTGGAGGATGCAGTTCGAAACTCTCCAAACAAATCCAAAGCCCAACCTCTGAAAGGCCATGGTTTGACTATGGAATGCAACTCGCTTGCAGGGACATGTTGTATGCCAGCGTGAACTTGGCATTCCTGGCAGCCTTTGGCGAATTTAATACAATCCTTTAACATAGTAGACCAATACATGCCTTGTCAAAACAACAATCATTTCATCTTATGGCCTACTTGATGTGCCCTACATGCCCCACTATGGATCGTCGAAAGGGCCAGATATGCTTCTGATTCACTAAGGCATTTAAGTAAGACTCCCACAGGGGTCTTTTTAAATAACTCATTTCCTAGAAGAACATAACTTAGAGCTTGATACTTGACCTTTTGCCCTGTAGACACTGTTAGATTCTGTAAGTACTCAACTAAAGGCTTCCTCCAGTCTTTGTCCCCCAGACTGTCTATTGTAAAAATATCAAAATTTTCTTCATCAACGTATCCAAAATTCGTCACTTTTAAATCTGATGGGTATAATCCAACAAACACGACTTTACCTCTGGCTTCGATTACCTCTTGTAAAATTTTCTTTGAAACCTTATACCCATAAGCAATCTGAGCTAAGTCATTAGCCATTTGATTCTCTAGTCGAGTATATGTCGAATGCTTGCCACTTCAAATTTTTTCAGTAGTTTGTTGGCTATTACAAAGTACATGATAAGATTTTCCTTAACACATTTATACTCCTTCGTAATTTGTTTTATGACCAACTCCGAGTCTCCCATTATTTCGACTCGAGTTGCTCCCAATTCTAACAAAATCTTAAGTCCTGCTATTAAGGCCTCATATTCAGCCTCGTTGTGGGAACAAAGTCCTTCGACCTTGTACTTGAATTTTGTTGGAATTTTTTCAGGCGAAATAATTAGCACGCCTAAGCCAGTTCCATCTTTGTGTCTAGAGCCATCGAAGTATAACTCCAAGGTTCCAGTTCGACGTAATTCAAAGTGCTTTCATTTATGGAGTGATTGACTATAAAGTCCGCTACCACTTGCCCTTTAACTACCTTTAAAGGCTTATATGTTAAAGAGTACTCAGCCAATGCTAGTGCCCACTTACCAACTCGACTATGCAAGATAGGTTTAGACAACATATGTTTAATAACATCAAAATGAGACGAAACATAAACATCAATTGGTTTTATATATTGTTTCAATTTTGTACAAGATAAATACAAGCATAAGCCTAATTTTTCTATCATGCTATACCTAGTTTCTACATCATTCAAAACTCTACTGAGGTAGTAGATGGCCCTTTCGACGCCATCCTCATCCTCTTGAGCCAATATGCTACTTAAGGTTTTTTTCGACGCAGCTATGTACAACCTCAAACTTCTATTCCTACAAGGCGGTGAAAGAATTGGGGGATGGCTCAAGTAGTCCTTGATCTTGTCGAAGGCTTCCTGTTGATATTGCCCCCAATCGAACCCTTTTTGTTGAATCGAAGCAATGGTGAAAATTCTTGTGTTTTTCCGCTTAAGTTCAATATGAACCTTCTCAAGAAATTTATCTTGCCCAACAGTAATTGCAACTCCCTTTTTGTCGATGGCGCTTTCGCTTCCATGATGGCTTTGGTTTTATTCTAGTTGATCTCGATCCCTTTTTTGTGGACCACAAAGCTTAGAAAATCCCCAGCATGCACACAAAACGCATTTTAAGAGGATTCATCTTAAGACCATATCTTCTCATCCTTTCGAAGGATTGTCAAAGGTGGCATAGGTGATTCTTCCCTGAAACCGACTTAATAATTTTGTGAAAAATTTGAAATGAAGAGTGAGTGAGTGAGGTGGTATGAGTTGCATGGCTTGAGGTTGTTGTTGTTGTCCTTTTGTGGATAAAATTAGAGGGGGCAAGAAATCAGAATAGGAGAGAGTGGCAAGACATTCTTGGTGCATAAGTTTTGCAATTTGATTCTTTTGGAAAAAAATGTTAAAATGGTACATGAAGGTACATGTCATGTGTGCTCTTTCTAGGTAATGTTTTGGTAAGGTTTATACCAATTTATGCGTGTGGTATTGATGTATGAAATTTTCTGAAAGTATTGATTCATGATATGCCAAGAATGGTGACCTAGAATGCATAAGATCATGTCCACATAGCCACTTTTAAGCCACCATAACTCTATGAATAATGCTTCAATCCATGAGATCTTGTGCTTGAAAGAAACTTAAGAATATGATGAGCATATCTCATGTTGATGGTAACTTGAAACAAGCCTTGTATGATCATGAAAAGTGGTTTAAAAGTCATGCCTTGAAATCTGTCTCAAATGACTTAGAAAAATTCTAAGTCACGATCCTTTGCCAATATTAAAATCTCAACTTTTATGCCACATATCTTGGATAGTTTTTATCCAATGGAGATGTTCTAGTAATGGATAGAAAGCTTGAAGAATGATCTTCAACTTCAATGTTCAAGGAAAAGTGATTTGAGATCAAGAACTTAGTGAAAAATGTCTTGGAAAGTGGCTCCAAAAATTTGCCTAAGACTTGTCCACTTTTGACAACTTCGAAACCTTAATTATGGATCTTCATAACTTGAGCTCTACACATCCAATGAATATGATCTAGTACTCAAAATAAATCTTGGAGGATGCTCTACAACTTTCATGTTGTAGAAAAATTCAATTGAAGCTTGTATCACCATGAAAGATGGACTTGAAAGTAGGCACCTCAAACTGATTTTCTACACTTAGAAAAAATTCTTCAAGCCTAATACTAGTTCAAACCCCTTTATGATACTTTTTAGAGCCCACAAATTACTCCATTTCCCATTACATATTAAAACAGTGTCATCAACATATTGAAACAAATTATAACTTCCACCATTTCCTAACATAAAACCTTTTAACAAATTCCTTTCAATAGCTCTATTTACTAAAACTGCTAAGCCCTCAGCTACAATAGAAAACAAGAAGGATGATAAAGAAATCACTCTGCCTAAGCCCCTTAGTCACAACAAAGTCCTTGGTAGGATTTCCATTAACTAAAACTGACATGAAGCTATTCATAACACAACCCTTCATCCACCTAGCTCTAAATCCCATATTCCACATGATGCTTCTAAGAAAAGACCAATCGACACAGTCATATGATTTGGCAAAATCCATCTTAAGAAGCAAATAATTTTTCCTATTCTTCTTAGCATATTTTGTTACTTCATTCATAACAAGCACACCATCAAATAACTATCTATCTTTAATAAAGGCAGTTTGTGATTCAAAAATGATTTTTTCTATTATAGACTTGATTCTATTAACTAACAACTTAGATAAAATCTTATAAATACAACCTATTAAATATATAGGTTTATAGTCATCTAGTCCATTAGGGTGATCCAACTTAAGAATTAAAACCAGAAAAGATGAAGCCATCACCTTTGGTATGAAGAGTTAAAAAAAATGTTTAGTAAGGAAATGTAAAAGTTAGAAAATTAAGTATGTGTATATTAATAGTAAGGAGAAATATACATCATTCTTATTCACCGTACCAATCGAGATTGTTATGCTTAGTCTGTGTAGATGTATAATCTTTATCTTGCATAGGATTTTGAAAGGAAAATGAAACTCCACTAACAAAAGAAGTGTCTTGCTTGGTTATAGAAAATTAAAAATTAATCTCCTTCTTTTATGAGTGCCAATGCACATAATGCTAAACTAATAGTGTCAATTGAATCAATTCACCCACTTAACAATTGAGTTTTACATACTTTATATCTAAGGATATATACAATTTCTCTATAATTTGATATACTACTGTTACAAGCCACTGTAAATATTCATACATAACTAGTCTTTTTCTTTGTTCCAAATAAGGGGCCTTTTGTTCAATATTGTAGCTCCATTTTCCACATTAATGAGAGGATCCAATTCACCTTCTCTTGCCTAAAAAGTCATATAAAAAGAAATCACAAACTAGTTTTTCATATTGAATAACAAAGAAAAAAAGCAAGTGAATAAAAACAAACCTGTGGTGCTTGTAATGTCATTTCAACTGCTTTTTGTTGATTCTCAAGAATGCTAGAGTAGGAATATAAAAGCATCCCAACCATGGCCACCATAATTCCCAATATGTTCCTCCAACTAAAAGGGTCACGAACAATAACGTAGCCAAAAGCTAATACAAGACATGTCTTAAGATGTCCAAGAACCTGGTAAGTGACCGGAGATGTCTTTCCGATTACAAGAAATGTACTAAAGTTTACTGAGATTGAGATAAGGCATGAAAGAACAATGACAAACTGCAATTCATAAAATAAAAAATCGAAAAATTCATTAGTAAATTCGAGGATTTTGATTTCAATTTCAACCAGAAACATCACATGGGGAGTTTAGTTTAATCTCACCGTCACTTGTGTAGTGTACTTGAAATAAAAAACATTTAGGTCAGTGAGAACTTTATCCATATATGGCCCGATTATCAACAAGGTTGCTGCTTGATACGGACATGTTTGATATAAAAGTTGAGTAGAAGAAACTTTAAACTTTTTCTGGATCGTATTTGTCATCTGAAACGAGCTTATTAAGATTTTAACAAGACATAATATGGAAAATTATAAAATTATCATATTTTTCAATGAGCTTAAAAGGATACAATTTGAGCAACGCAAGTTGTTATCACTGCTAGAAGAGATAAGAAAGAGCCCAGTGCATTGAGTTGCAAATCGGTAACGGTTGCAATTCCAACGCCGAAAAGAAGAATTACAAGGGAAAATTGTATTCTTCTACTGCAGATATATAGAAACATAAAGAACAATTAGATGCCTTGGAAAAATGTTAACAAAAGTAAGGACAATCGTGCGGAACTAGTATTGAAATGACATGAGTCTAAATGAGACCTGAATTTCTTGCCAAGGAAAATGATCTCCAGCAGAATAGTACATGGAATTATTGCTAGCTTTGTCATCTGAATGCATATGAAATAAAGATTATTCATAAAGAAAAAATGCTCGAAGACGATTAAGACGATCGAAAAAAATACCTGATAAAAGCCAACAGAATTGAAACCTAAGCTCAAATTCAAAAGTCCAATTGAAGTTCCATTGAGAATTCCAAATCCCATCACAGCTTTTTGATCAAACGGCTTGTGCTCAAAAAGTCTCATTTTTAGTGCCACGTGTAGAGAACAAAATGTAACAAGAAGATGCCAACTTGTCAAAGTTGTAGCTGCATGCATGCATGAGAATCCACGTAAAATCTTGATATTTTATCAAAATTTTCAAACAATATCAAAAACTTAACGAACTTACCGAAAATAAATTGCAGTGAACTCATCAACGCCTTGTTACAGATGACAATCGACACCGATGAAACCACCGATAGACTCAACGCACCGAGAGTCCCCAACTGACAATTTTCTCCTTCTCCCATCTTCTTCTTTGTTATATATTCTGGAAAAAAATTATGATTTTCTGCGATGAAATTCTATGGTCCTGCTGAAAATAAATTAGATAATAAAATGAAAAGGTTAGCAAAACTGAGCAAAAGAAATGAGAATTGATGTTAGGTGACAATGGTTGGGGTTTGTGAAGGTGGTGATGGTTGTTTGTTGCAGTTTGCGAAGAGAAGAGAAAAGAAGAGAATCAAAAAATTTAATTTTAGTTTCAGACAAATAAAAGCTAATAAATAATCAACGTAAATTTTTTCAATTGAAACTTTACTAAAATATTCCTGGTTTTGCGATGCTCACCTTTTCTTTTTCTACCTCAAAATTGATGATAGGTGAAAATATAGTAATTCAGATTTAGGTTCTATAATCTCTATAAGATACACTCACAATCAACCCACTAGATTCATGCACCATATATTTTGTGGAAATTTCTTCAATTTTATTGAATGCATTTTATTCTTATTTATGTACGGTAATAATGTCTTTTGCATAATTGTTTAGCTGGGCTCGCTCAACACATATTGAGACTTGGCGAATATAAAAAAAATGAGGTTTTTTATATTATTAATAATCAAAATTAAAAAAAATATACTTTATTTAAAATTTTACCTTTCAAACTTTTTGAGATGCAAAGTTATTTATTAAACTTTTATAATCAATTTCGTTCAACATTTTTTTTTCAATTGATAATAAAGTCAATTCATTTAATCTTTGTTGAGACATTGTAGATCTTAAATATTATTCTATTAACTTTAATTTTGAAAAACTTCTTTCGGCAGACGCAACTGTAATAGGAATTGTTAAGATTATTCTATAAGCAATATATGCATTTGGAAAAGAATCAAGTCTCTTTATATAATTAAGTATATCAATTGGTGTATTATTTTCCACTTGTATTATTTCTCTTAAAATTTTTAGTTCCATAAATAAATCTGATCCATCAATATTAGATTCAGTGTTATGTTCAATGATTGTTCAATATTAAAACAATTTTCTTTTAAATTTTCAATGTCAATAGATTTTAATATCTTAATACTAAATAGAAACCAAAAATATCATTATATATTTTAAATTGTTTAAATCTACTTTGAAATAAAGTGATTGCTTGATCTATTATATATAATAAATAATCTGTTTTAAATGATTCTTCAGGAAATTTTATAACTTCATTGCCTATAATTTCATCAAATTATTTTTTTCTACGAATAATACGCTTTTCACGAAATTTAGGTTCTATATCCATTTCAATAGCAATTTCTTTTGCAGAAATCAAAGCGTTTTCAAATCCATTTTCCCTATTGTTGCGGTGGAAATATGATATCAAACTATTAATTAGTTTGAATCACAAATTTTGATTCACAACCGCTCTTTAATTTATCCGAAGGAAAATGTCAAAAGAGAAAAAAACCTATTTTTGCATCGTAAACACAATGCGGGGAGAGACCTAGGTAAAGGGTTAGTTAAGCTTAGGGAAGGTACTGACACCTTAAACTTCTATAGTACTCTACATGAACCTTTTGTTTATTGTACTATTTTTGCTTTATTATTTGCTTTAAGTATATATTGAGTTAAGGGATGGAGTGACCTAAAGACCTAAGGGTTAGTCATAAGTTTACTCGGCAATACGTCGCATCTTGTGCCTACATATCCTGACGGGAATGAAGTCAGAGTAATTGTAGTTCTCCTCGAAAGGGAGGTTAGAAACGTCTTGACTGTGGTCAAGGTTTCAAGGGGAGTAAACGTCTCTTAAGGATACGCTTACGTGGAGTCTTAAAACTCATATTTTTATGTTGAATTTGTTAATTGAAATTAGGGATTTCACGACGGAAAATCCTAAAACAGAGTACGACGACTCTTCGACCTAACGCTAGGGTAAAGAGTATTTTCGTCCACGGCGGGACGCCTAGGCTATTAGGGTTTTGAAATGTTCAAAGGGTAAGGCTATTGACTCGACGGTCAAACTGCTAGACCTAATCCCTTCGGAGGGGAAAATAACGGTAAAAACATGCAAACCTGGCAAATTATTATGCGGCAAAATTAAAGTGCGAAAAGTAAAGAAACAGTACAAAAATGCGAAAATTACAAATCCCAACACAAATGCGAAAATAAATAAATAAACTGCGATCATGGCCTCGCATAAATTACATCCATGCCAAAAAAATAGTACGAATAATTGAGAAGACAATAAACTAAAACAAGCATACTTATAGGGTCAGACGAAACTGAAATGTCTAAACCAAAAGCTTTTATTTTTCGAATTTTATTGAAAAGATGAGAACTAATTTTATGCTTAAATTGGGCCATTATTTTTAAAAAATTTGTTTTAATTTTAATAAAGAAATTTATTTTAATAAAACGTTTAAATCTTATTGAGAAAATGTTTTAATTTTTTATTGAAAAATGTTTTAAATTTTAATTTTGAAAAAATGTTTTAAGTTTCTAAAAAAGGATGTTTAATGTTTATTTACAAAGGTTTATTTAATAAAAAAAACTTTTAATCTTAATTAAAAATGTTTTAGTTTTAATAAAAAAACTTTTAATTTTAATTTTAAAAAATGTTTTAAATTTAATTTAAAAGCTTCTTTTATTAAAACGTTTTAATTTTTAAGGTTCTAAAAAGGTTTTTAATTTTAGTGTTTTATTTTTATTTCTATTTATTAATAGCTAAAGGAAAAGGAGAATACAATAGTGGTTAGTTATTTACAAGTGTTTGCTAATTAAATTTATTAAGAACTTATTAGAGACTATTAAGAAAAATGATAAATGTTAATTAAATTAGTGATAAATTACTAGTAAAAACAAATAAAATAAATACTAAATATGCTATAAAACAAACATAAGTAACAGAGGCGGAACATTTGCTGCTTGTCCCTTTTAGGGTTTCCTTATGTGTCTCCTCATTCTTCTTCTCTAGAAGCGTCGGCGACGAGACTCCATGGAAGCTCCATTTGCGAGCTCTACTTCACTTGCATGTCCCTTTTTCTTGCTTTATCATCGCCGCGACGCCTTCTGGTCCCTGAAAAACACAAAGAATTGAAAAGCAGTTAAACCCCCGAGATGCTCACCTCTTCTGGTTCGAAGCGTCTTGCGAGGATCTACGGTTGAGAACGACGGTGATGATGGCTTTTGGTGTTGTAGCGGGCCAATGATGTTTCTAACTGAGGCCACTTTCTTCCGTACGAGCTTTCCGTCAAATTCCTTCGCCGCTTTCGATTGCGTTTTGGGTTCGCCGCTTTCTCGTTTCTGGTTTGAAGCTCTTTCTCTTTATCTCTTTTCTCTGACTCGCGGTGACGATGATGAAACCCTTTGGGGTTTTCTGAGTCCGGCAATGATGATGGATCCTGGTGATCTCTGAGCCGCCATTTTGGATCCCTCTTCTGAACTTGGTTAGGGTTTTTCAAATCCCTCCCCTTTGATTTATATCATTTTCTTTCTATGTGATGTGTGGGCCTTTCCGTGATCTTGTTGGTATCATGTTTGAACTTGTTTCCTGGGTTTTCGCAGGTTTTACGGATGATTCGTTTTGATTTTGTTGAGTTTGACCGAACAACTTGGTTATATTGTTACTGGCTCTTGGATCCAGATTTTACGTTTGTTGATTTGCTTTGACGCTTTGATTTCGGATTCTGTTATCTTTCTGACATGTTGGATATGGATTTTGCAGATGTGATTCGGGTACTTGCTATCAGATGCTGGATTTTCAGTTTCTTCATGAACTGGTTCTCGGTTTCTTCATGAACTTGTTCTCGGTTTATTCATGAATTGGTTCTCGGTTTATTCATGAACTGGTTGGGACTGGTTTCTTGTTGAACCCGTTTCTGAACTGGTTTCTTGTTGACCCTGATTCTCTTGAACTGAATTGTTTGAACTGAGTTGTTTGAACTGTTGGATTTGTTGTCGAAAGTAGTTTTCCAAGAAGGTTGGCGTTAAGGCCCAATTTTTGGGCAAACCGCCTTTCGGGAACAATCACTTTCCTCAAACCGACTTTTCAAATAAGCACTTTTCTGTATAATCCCTTTTTGGCCCAACAACTTATTTAAAAAACAATTTTCCTCTTCTCTTTCTCGGTTGCCTACTCTAAGAACAGAAGCTGCCTAATCTTGGCCATTGGTCGAGGAACGAACCCGATGATGACACTGTTCTGAGGGTATCGACATTAACCGATAAAAGTTTATCTCTTTGTCTTGTTTTGCAGGTACGGAAAATCGTAAACTCGGAATCGGCTAATCAGCAGAACATGAAGAACTTTAGAAATTTTTATATTTTTATGAAAAAAATGTAATTTTCTTATATATTTTGTAATTTTATTTGGTTATTATTTTTTTGTAAAGAACTAGACTTATTAATAAAAATTTCTCTATTTATTCATTACTTTGTAAGGAATTAATATTACTAATAACAGTTTTTTAATTCATTTATTTTATTTTGGATATGCAAATAAGAATGAAGACTAATGCAAATATATGCTTTTATTTAAAATATAAACTAAAGCTAATATTAAAAATAGAATAATAAAAAATGAAAATGTGAACAAATGAAATAAAGTTAACAAAACTCAAAATGAGATGATTTATTTTAAAATGAAAGAAAACTTAAAGTGAAATAATTTTTTTTTTAGTATGAAATGAAAAAATAAAATAGAACCAAATGAAATTAATTTAGAATAAAATGACGATGCAATGCAATACGATTAACTTAAAAACACACAAATGGAATGAAACTCCACATTTTTTTATTAATTTCTAATTTTTTAATTTATTCGATTAGCTTCGCTTCCGACACCATTTCTGATTAAACCCTTCCAATTAGATCAAACAAATCAAAATGCCTGATTACAACTCAAAATTCAAACTTGACAGTCGGTTGTGAGGAAATGACCGTTTTGCCCTTTGTGAACCAAAAAGCGTGCCACCTGGTATTTTCCTGCAAAACCAACAAGTTGCACAGCCCGTGAGTAGTTAGTTAAATGCAATGCGAAATG